AAAAAAAAAAAAAAATCATGTAAGTTCTGACCAAATGGATTGGTTTGGAGCGTGTAGGCCTTTCATATTTCCGGATCATTTCAGTAAAGCTCTTCATCACTATCCCCTAGCTGTGCCTATTAATAGTAGGGTGGTACTGGGGAGACTGATCCAGTTGTAGCAAGGTTCAGACAGTAAGATCGAAATATCTAAGGGGTATGGAAATCTCTATGCAAATAACCCAAGGATCCAAAGATTAATAATTGGAGATTACAAAATATGGGGGAATTTAGAGCCAGGTATGCTTAGCAGTTAACATTTAGATGTTGAGTGGCGTATCCCAGTTGCCAGCCTAAGTTAAAAGCAGAGTTTAAGTTTCTAGGAAGGGTTTTTATACTAGAGAAGTTATTTTTATCAGTGACTAAGACTTTTCCACAACCGAAGTTCAATTGAGGAGTGGAAGGAGGTGACATTTTGGGGAAAGACTGATTTGAGAATAACATTAAAAGTGAATCCTCAGAATCAGGGCACAATTTCTTAGCTAAGGTAAATCAGAAAGAAGATTCACTTAAAAATTATATAAAGAGTGGGTGGCACTAAAACTATTGAGTCCTTTTTGCTTCTTATCAGGATTGACATGATCACTGTGAGGGTTTATATCTAAACATAGGTAAAACTTTGGACCACATGGATACTAGGGAGATAGAGATGGGGATACTTGGTTTTGTCAGGGCTGGTTAGTATTGTTAAGGTGTTTTAATGGATAGCATATTGAGTGGGTTTTCAAGATGGTATGAAATAGACTCCTTAACTCTCTCGTGGTCTGTCTGTATGGATATGTTTCTTTTTTCCTAGATCTATTAAGAAATTAGTATCTAACTCAGTCCTTTGCATGTAATAGATATTGAAAAATCAGGGACTGTGTCTTTCTTATTTTTGTATTCTTGGTGCCTAGCATGGTTCTTGGCACTAATATGCTCCCAATAATTGTCCAAATGAACTGACCTAATCTAGAAAGAATTATAAGAGACATGACATGAAGGAGAAATAGGATGATGAAATGAAGGATCAAGTAAATTTTAAAAATAGTTGTGTTAAAATGTAAATTTACCTGTATGCAAAAATACACCAGAATGTATAATCTAAACTCTTTTTTTAAAAACAGAGAATGGAATGGTGGAGTTAGATGACTTTATAAGTACTCTCGCCAACGAGCAAAGTTTTCCTGAATGCAATGGTAGGTAGGAAATTTGTTTTAAAATGATTTAGAGGGAAGAACAGTGCTGATTGAGAAGAATTAGGTTCAACAGAACTGGGCTTGCTTTTGGATGGATACTTAATAGTCCTGTGACTCTTAGGCAAGTCAGTTGCCAGTTTTTAAAAACTTGCTATATCAGAGTAATAATAGCTCAGGTGTTCACCTCACACAGTTGTCATGTGAATTTTGCAAACTGAACAGTGATCCATAAATATATGGCAATAATGATCATGTGGAGATCAAATAGGTAATTAGTAACATTGATTAGGAATTGATGGGTGATATGTTTGTTTGTTTGTTTGTTTTTCCCCAATGGACTTCTTTGAATGAAATACTTGTTTGGTTCACCTTTGATTTAGAACTTTTAAAAACAACTTTATCAAGGTATAATTTATGTACATGAAATTCACTCATCCACTGATTTTTATTAAATTGATTGAGTTGTACCACAATACTCTTTTTTTGCTTGCAATATTTTTATACAAATGATTAAATATTTTTTAGCAAGATTAAAATGAGAAAGATATTAAAGCTTGCTGTTTTTATTTTGTTCTGTTTATGCATATGCTGAAAAAGAAACATAAGCTTTTTGTTTCTTTCCAAAAAATTCCCCAGATAAGGAAAGATTAGTCCAAAGCAAGAGATTTCCTTTTATACTTACATGAAGAGACTTATGTTAAAAGCTACATTATCATTTGTCATTTCTGATGAATGTAAGTGGCGAAGTGTCTGGATTTATTGAAGACAATATTAGTAAATCTATTTCTTTTAAAAAGTGTTCCTTTATGTTCAGTTTGTAAGCAAATAGACTATTATTATTATACTTTAAGTTCTGGGATACATGTGCAGAACGTGCAGGTTTGTTACATAGGTATACACATGCTATGGTGGTTTGCTGCACCCTTCAACCTGTCATCTACATTAGGTATTTCTCCTAATGCTATCCCTCCACTAGCCCTCCACCCTCCAACAGGCCCCAGTGTATGAAGTTCCTCTCCCTGTGTCCACGTGTTCTCATTGTTCAACTCCCACTTATGAGTGAGAACATGTGGTGTTTGGTTTTCTGTTCCCACATTCATTTGCTGAGGATGATGGTTTCCAGCTTCAACCATGTCCCTGCAAAGGACAGGAACTCATTCTTTGTTATGGCTGTATAGTATTCCATGGTGTATATGTGCCACATTTTCTTTATCCAGACTGTCATTGATGGGCATTTGGGTTGGTTCCAAGTCTTTGCTATTGTGAACAACACTGCAATAAACATACGTATGCATGTGTCTTTATAGTAGAATGATTTATAATCCTTTGGGTATATACCCAGTAATGGGATTACTGGGTCAAATGGTATTTCTGGTTCTAGATCCTTGAGGAATTGCCATACTATCTTCCACAATGGTTGAATTAATTTACATTCCCACCAACAGTGTAAAAGCGTTCCTATTTCTTCACATCCTCTCCAGCATCTGTTGTTTCCTGACTTTTTAATGATCACCATTCTAACTGGTGTGAGATGGTATCTCATTGTGGTTTTGATTTGTGTTTCTTTAATGACCAGTGATGAGCTTTCTTTTTCATGTTTGTTGGCTGCATAAATTTCTCCTTTTTTTTTTTTTTTTTTTTGAGACAAAGTCTCACTATGTCACCCAGGCTGGAGTGCAGTGGCGTGGTCTTGGCTCACTGCAGCCTTTGCCTCCTGGGTTCAAGTGATTCTCCTGCCTCAGCCTCCTGAGTAGCTGGGACCTCCTGAGTACAGGTGCATGCCACCATGCCCGGCTAATTTTTTGTATTTTTAGTAGAGACAGGGTTTCACCGTGTTAGCCAGGATAGTCTTGATCTCCTGACCTTGTGATCCGCCCACCTCAGCCTCCCAAAGTGAAATCTCTTCTTTTGAGAAGCATCTGTTCATATCCTTTACCCACTTTTTGATAGGTTTGTTTTTTTCTTGTAAATTTGTTTAAGTGCTTTGTAGATTCTGGATATTAGCCCTTTGCCAGATGGATAGGTTGCAATATTTTTCTCCCATTCTGTAGGTTTCCTGTTCACTCTGATGATAGTTTCTTTTGCTGTGCAGAAGTTCTTTAGTTTAATTAGATCCCATTTGTCAATTTTGGCTTTTCTTGCCGTTGCTTTTGGTGTTTTAGTCATAAAGGCTTTGCCCATGCCTATATCCTGAATGGTATTGCCTAGGTTTTCTTCTAGAGTTTTTATGGTTTTAGATCTTACATTTAAGTCTTTAATACATCTTGAGTTATATTTTCTATTAGGTGTAAGGAAGGATTCCAATTTCAGTTTTCTGCATATGGCTAGTCAGTTTTCCAAACACCATTTATTAAATAGGGAATCATTTCCCATTGCTTGTTTCTGTTAGGTTTGCCGGAGATCAGATGGTTGTAAATGTGTGGTGCTATTTGAGGCCTCTGTTCTGTTCCATTGGTCTATATATCTGTTCTGGTACCAGTACCATGCTGTTTGCTGTTTTGATTACTGTAGCCTTTTAGTATAGTTTGAAGTCAGGTAGCACGATGCCTATAGCTTTCTTCTTTTTGCTTAGGATTGTCTTGGCTATACAGGCTCTTTTTTGGTTCCATATGAAATTTAAAGTATATTTTTAATTTTGTGAAGAAAGTCAATGGTAGCTTGATGGGGATAGCATAGAATCTATAAATTACTTTGGGCAGGATGGCCATTTTCACGATATTGATCATTCCTATCCTTGAGCATGGAATTTTTTTTTCATTTGTTTGTGTCCTCTCTTATTTTCTTGAGCAGTGGTTTGTAGTTCTCCTTGAAGAGGTCCTTCACCTCCCTTGTAAGTTGTATTCCTAGGTATTTTATTCTCTTTGTAGCAGTTGTGAATGGGAGTTCACTCATGATTTGGTTGTCCACTTGCCTGTTTTCGATGCATAGGAATGCTTGTGATATTTGCACATTGATTTTGTATCCTGAGACCTTGCTGAAGTTGTTTATCAGCTTGAGATTTTGTGCTGAGACGATGGGGTTTTCTAAATATACAATCATGTCATCTGCAAACAGAGACAATTGAACTTCCTCTCTTCCTATGTGAATACCCTTTCTTTCTTTCTCTTGCCTGATTGCTGTGGCCAGAACTTCCAATACTATGTTGAATAGGAGTGGTGAGAGAGGGCATCCTTGTCTTGTGCTGGTGTTCAAAGGGAATGCTTCCAATTTTTGCCCATTCAGTATGATATTGGCTGTGGGTTTGTCATAATTAGCTCTTATTATTTTGAGATATGTTCCATCAATACCTAGTTTATTGAGAGTTTTTAGCATGAAGGGGTGTTTAATTTTATTGAAGGCCTTTTCTGCATCTATTGAGGTAATCATGTGGTTTTTGTCATTGGTTCTGT